ATTAAAAAAATTAAGCACACCTACTCTAATTAGTCTAATTATACTTCTAATTCTACAATTGTGCAGAATTTAATTATACATCTTTAGCTACTTGACAGTTTTAGTTAACTTCATAGTGATTTAGGAAACAGATGTGAGATTTTATTTTTCTATTTTTATAACGGATTCAAATTGATCCTAGCCTATCTTTCACTAGATACATTTTGAGTTAGAGTTTAATGGATATATGATAGACTCAAAGAAGGATCCCCTGCCCCCTACTTTTGTATATGCTAAGGAATGGGTGTCTCTGAGGCTACTGGCCTTAATACCAAGAGAGGGATATTTTATGCCTAATTGCCTGGTCTTAAAGGGATACTCCAGACAGCTAAACAAGTTAAGCATAAATTAAAGCTAAAAAGCTCATAATACCTGTGGTTAGTTTATTTTCTTTCAATTCTGTGTAGTTTTCCTACAGTGATGTAAAATGTTTTGCTGATTCCAGTAGTGTATCCCAGCCTCCTTAGCTACCTCCTTTCACATTTCAACATGTTCCTGATTCCCAATTTCTGAAAGAAACTTACCTTTTGCAGCCAATTAAACTAGAGGCATGTTTTCTCTAGTGTAAGGAATGTTAACAACACAGACTGCACTGTAGAATCTCCCCCTCTCCCTTTAATGCAAGTAATACATTTTCCTCCAGTCCCAGTCAGCCAACCGCCCTACCTTCTGTTAAACCATTCCCTGCCAATCCCAGTCAGCTAATTCCCTACCCACTATTAACCACTGCCCTGCCAGCCAACCTCTCTACCCACTGTTAACCGTTGTCCTGCCAGCCAACCTCACTACCCACTGTTAACCCCTTCCCTGCCTGTCCCGATCAGCCAACCTCACTAACCCACGGCTCACCTCTCCCCTGCCAGTCCCTGTCAGCCAACCTCCCTACCCACTGTTAACCACTTTCTCTGTCAGTCAACCTCACTACCACTGTTAGCCCCTCCCCTGTCAGCCAACCTCCCTACCCACTGTTAACCACTTTCTCTGTCAGTCAACCTCACTACCACTGTTAGCCCCTCCCCTGTCAGCCAACCTCCCTACCCACTGTTAACCACTTTCTCTGTCAGTCAACCTCACTACCACTGTTAGCCCCTCCCCTGTCAGCCAACCTCACTACCCACTGTTAACCCCTTCCCATCAAGCCGCTTTTAATCAACCTCCTTAGAGAGAGAGATAGATCAAGAGATATATAGATAGATAGAGAGAGAGGTACAGATATGTATACAGGGAGTGCAGAATTATTAGGCAAATGAGTATTTTGACCACATCATCCTCTTTATGCATGTTGTCTTACTCCAAGCTGTATAGGCTCGAAAGCCTACTACCAATTAACCATATTAGGTGATGTGCATCTCTGTAATGAGAAGGGGTGTGGTCTAATGACATCAACACCCTATATCAGGTGTGCATAATTATTAGGCAACTTCCTTTCCTTTGGCAAAATGGGTCAAAAGAAGGACTTGACAGGCTCAGAAAAGTCAAAAATAGTGAGATATCTTGCAGAGGGATGCAGCACTCTTAAAATTGCAAAGCTTCTGAAGCGTGATCATCGAACAATCAAGCGTTTCATTCAAAATAGTCAACAGGGTCGCAAGAAGCGTGTGGAAAAACCAAGGCGCAAAATAACTGCCCATGAACTGAGAAAAGTCAAGCGTGCAGCTGCCACGATGCCACTTGCCACCAGTTTGGCCATATTTCAGAGCTGCAACATCACTGGAGTGCCCAAAAGCACAAGGTGTGCAATACTCAGAGACATGGCCAAGGTAAGAAAGGCTGAAAGACGACCACCACTGAACAAGACACACAAGATGAAACGTCAAGACTGGGCCAAGAAATATCTCAAGACTGATTTTTCTAAGGTTTTATGGACTGATGAAATGAGAGTGAGTCTTGATGGGCCAGATGGATGGGCCCGTGGCTGGATTGGTAAAGGGCAGAGAGCTCCAGTCCGACTCAGACGCCAGCAAGGTGGAGGTGGAGTACTGGTTTGGGCTGGTATCATCAAAGATGAGCTTGTGGGGCCTTTTCGGGTTGAGGATGGAGTCAAGCTCAACTCCCAGTCCTACTGCCAGTTCCTGGAAGACACCTTCTTCAAGCAGTGGTACAGGAAGAAGTCTGCATCCTTCAAGAAAAACATGATTTTCATGCAGGACAATGCTCCATCACACGCGTCCAAGTACTCCACAGCGTGGCTGGCAAGAAAGGGTATAAAAGAAGAAAATCTAATGACATGGCCTCCTTGTTCACCTGATCTGAACCCCATTGAGAACCTGTGGTCCATCATCAAATGTGAGATTTACAAGGAGGAAAACAGTACACCTCTCTGAACAGTGTCTGGGAGGCTGTGGTTGCTGCTGCACGCAATGTTGATGGTGAACAGATCAAAACACTGACAGAATCCATGGATGGCAGGCTTTTGAGTGTCCTTGCAAAGAAAGGTGGCTATATTGGTCACTGATTTGTTTTTGTTTTGTTTTTGAATGACAGAAATGTATATTTGTGAATGTTGAGATGTTATATTGGTTTCACTGGTAATAATAAATAATTGAAATGGGTATATATTTGTTTTTTGTTAAGTTGCCTAATAATTATGCACAGTAATAGTCACCTGCACACACAGATATCCCCCTAACATAGCTATAACTAAAAACAAACTAAAAACTACTTCCAAAAATATTCAGCTTTGATATTAATGAGTTTTTTGGGTTCATTGAGAACATGGTTGTTGTTCAATAATAAAATTAATCCTCAAAAATACAACTTGCCTAATAATTCTGCACTCCCTGTATATATATATATATATATATATATATATATATATATATAGAGAGAGAGAGAGAGAGAGAGAGAAAGAGATAGCCCAAAGCTCTACAGGTATTTATGAGTTTATTTATATTTATTTTTTTCATTTATATTAAAGCGCCACTGTCATGCCGAACGTACTTTTCCCCAATCAATGCCTCTTCTCTCCCTCTTTCAGGATCTGTTCTTCATTTCTTCCTGCCTGCTCTAGTTTTCTTTAAAATCATAAGACAAAGTAGGGACTATTTGTCTTGTGGAGGTTTCCTACGTCTGACCAGCTATGACCAGCGGAAGAGCAAAGTGTGCTTCATTTCTGGTGGTCAGAGCAATTTCCCCACAATTCTCACCATTCCTCTGTGATCGCACGAATGAATAAAACTCCAATCCTTTTCATGCCGCAGCTGCATCTTGCAGCCGCTTAGTAGATAGCTTCCTAATTCCCAGGGAGCTATCTACCAAAAGGCTTAAAGACCTAAATTGGTCTTTCAGCCAAATTTACTAATACTAAGTAAAGATTATTTAGTATTTGTAAATAATCTGCCCCTTGCAGAGCAGTATACAGAGACTCTGTATTCAGCATTCAGAGTCCTGTGGCATCATCCGCTGTGAGCTCTCTGACTGTAGTTATGGTATCATATCAAAATGAAAAAAGTTTACAATAAACATATTTTATTTGAATTGCAAATTGTGCATACACCATTGAAGGGTATGACAATATACCCTGGCAAACAACAAGTTGTTTTGGTGCTTAGAGTGTACTTTTAAACCCCAATGCACACGATTACAGATCTCATATTTCATGTTTTAAAGGGAAACTGACACTTCTGTGGCATTCACTGCATTGGATAAAGATTGAAAATCACCTGTAATTTGTGTTAACCTGTTTTGTTTGTTTTTGCTCTGTTTTCTTTTACATTTTTATTAAACATTTACAAAATTACATAATAATCCAGTTCAGACAACTCAAGGCCAGGGCAAATGTTGCAAATAACATGAGGAAATATGCACATTGTTTAATTTCTCTGCTTTCTCTATGCTTGCTGCCAGGTACACAGGACCAAACTAATAACAATGATTGACAGGGGGCTAAGATGGAGGTGGTCTGTTGCAGAGTAAAGAAATGTAAATGTCTACATTTAATTTAAATGAACGCTATAGTCATGAAAACAACTTTAGCTTAATGAAACAATGTTGATGTACAGATCATGCCTCTGCTAAGTTCACTGCCATTTAGGAGTTAAATCACTTTTGTTTCTGTTAATGCAGCCATAACATAAAAAAATGGTTCTATTTTCAGAGGTAATTTACTTTAGCATTTTTAGCTCCTGCTCTGTAAATTGAACTTTAATTACATACAGAAGACTCCTGCAAGGTCTAACAAGCTATTAACAGAGCATGAGATAAGAAATTTAAAATTAAACAGAATTTACAATAAAGGAAGTTTAAACATTAGATTTTTCTTTACAGGAAGTGTTTATTAAGGCTGTGTAAGTCACATGCAGGGAGGTTTGACTAGGGCTGCATAAACAAAGTGATTTAACATCCAAATGGCAGAGAACTGAGCTGTGAGCCTGCAGGGGCATGATCTATACACCAAAACTGCTTCATTAAGCTATTTTGGTGACTATAGTGTTCCTTTAATTTGTCATACCTGTTTAAATATAGTAATAAGTAAACATAAAACATGTGAGGTGACTGTATATGCTTTAAGTCATATACCCTTTAATGCTGTAATGTCCAGCATTAAAAGCATATAGACATATCTACTGCAAATGTTTGTAGAATTGCTTGAATATATAGTATATAATTTTACTATTTTTGTTAAATAATCATGTTAACTGTTTTCTATGTTTATTTAATTCATTTCAGGAATCTGGAAAGAATGTATTTCAAAACAAGGATCAGTGATTAAATACATATATTCCTCATGACCTCAAAAGGGGAAGGACATTTTGAAGGTGACAGTGGAGTTTTATTACTATCAAGCTGAGGAGTACATATCGAAAAAAAATACCTCTTGTTTTTGGAATTGTCCCTTAATCTGGCTAAAATACTTTCTAAGTGTTTTATGTATTTCCCATCCATGACACACAGCTAGACAGCCAGACAGCATGCTGGATCATATTCATAGATAAATTAATTGGGCTCCATGAGAACTTGATATGACAACCAGCAGCCGTTCATGTCCTGTACCAGCGGTGAATGGACATATGAATCACTACCCAGCCACCCACTACCCTTTCCTGTTTCCACCGGTCATTGGTGGTCTTTCTCTTCCTGCCCTGCATGGATTTCAGGGTCACCCTCCGACAAGCGGGTGCAGCACCCCTTCTCCTGCAAGTAAGTGAAATTTAATTATCTTACATTATGGCTGTGATTATAGATACCTGCTGTTGCAATATTTGATTGTTTAGATGATATATTACTTCTGTATGTCAAAGGAATACTCCATGCACCATAACCACTACAGCACTCTATAGTGATTATGGTGTCAGGAGTGTACTGGTTTCGCCCCTTCAGTAACCAGTCGAACCATTTTATCATGGCTTAACTACTTACCTGGATTGCCGGCACCCACATTTGCAACTACTCCCAATCTCTAAATGGGGCCATGCAGATAGTGCCAAAGTGTAATTGTACTGCAAGTGTCCCTTTAAGTTAGTTTACTTTGAGAATTGTGGTATTATTTGTTGCCTATATGGACCTATACAAGATAATTAAATTGTTTTATATTACTATAGATAGATATGCTTGTGATGGTACACAGTTTTAACATCAGTGAAGACAAATAAACAATTAAAATAGTAAATCTATAAAATGTAATGCACTTCGTATACTTGCTTTGTTCCATCTTCCATAGAGATTACATGTTGTTAAAGATGGTTTATATCAGTATCCAGTAGTTATTTTAAGTACCGCACTTTTAGTAAATTGCTTTCATTTATTTTAACTTTTTATGTCAACAATATATTGCTTATTCATCATGACAAATATTATTTGTTGCATTCGGGCTTTCAGTATGCATGGCATGAAAAATTGCAGCTTTTGTAAATTAGCAATCAATTTCACCAACATGGTACGATAAAACACAATACCCACAGGTGTGCATGATTTTATTTTTTATTCTCTGCATTCCAAAGTAGTCCGGACACATAATAGCACAGAAGATAGCGGCTCTACTGGAGCAAAGAGCACATCGGTGACGTTTTAAAACGAAAAGTCGAAATGTCACTGATGTGCACTTTGATCCAATAAAGCTGCCATCTTCTGAGCTATTCTGTGCCTGGACTTCTTTAGATCTCTGAGATCAAGGGAGGTAGTGCAGACTCCTGTTCGGTCTGCACCAACTGTGGCTTTGTTGAGGGTTTGCGTTCCCTCTCTACTGTTTACTTTATTTCTCAATCTGCAGTCTCGCAGTACTATGAATGAAATGTCCTTCTGTCTGATAACAAATAAAAACATGACATTCCAGATTCTAACCTTCACTTATCAGTCACATTTGCATAAAAACATAATTGCTGATTTGCGTGACTTCTTAAAGAATAAACATACAGATATTTCAATGGCTTCAGGTTCATATTATATACCATCAATGTGCTCAAGTATTCTTTTGGATACCTTGACTATGTTTTCTGTGATGTGGTGTCACCTCAAATAAACACTACATAGTGGCCTTTTGGATTCCAAGGCCACCCTTTTTAGTATTAAAATAATAATAATAATAATAATAATAATAATAATAATAGCAGTAGAAGAAACATAGTAAAGTTAATGCACAGCAATTTCTGTGATGCTCCAGTCAAATGCTTCCTACAGAGAAGCATTGAATCAAATTGATTGAATGGTTAACGTCCTCATGCAAAGTGTGACAATGTGATTGAACATGATTGTGTATTCCATTGTATTGTTGAGTAAAACACAAGTTAATGCAGTGTTCTTGAGTCACCTGATTGAACGAAATTAGGATTTTTGGAAACAGAAACTCCCCAATTTAATCACCATTATTCATAAATGTCCAAGTTTTTTTCCCCACAATAAGTTTTTCAAACATTGGCAGCACAGGCTTCAAACACAAAGCATAACTAATGGATAAGGCAGGATCGCATGTTGAGAACAAACACTAGTTTCGGAGATAGGTGCTCTGAGCCCCTCGGAGAGGTACGGAGTGGGAAACATGGAAAAGGTTCGGCTAACAAGCCCCCCAAAAAAACAAAAAAACCTGGGGACCAAATTACAGCTTTGATTCCCGACACAATCGAGAACCTTAACACGATGTGATTAGTATCCTCAAATTGATGGTATGTTGGAGACCTGCGTGTCCCAATCTGCAAATCTTCTTAACGTATGTATTGACTGTTTGAACTACTTCTCAATAAAAACAGATTTACAAAAAAAGTTTTTCAAACAGTCCACATTGGTGGGATTTTATTATCTGACAATCACAAGAAGGAGCAAAAATACAAACATGTAAAAACCTACAGCTCAATTTACATTTTTTTAAATGTTTAAGGATGGCCTTGTAATATATAGTTTTCCTTTTGGCAGCAACATCTGACCAGGTTGTTATTATTATCAGGATTTTTTTACAATGAGTGTATAAAATAGCAAATAATTAACAAACACAAAAGAAACGCAGTGAAGAGGGTCTTCCAAAAATAGGCTTTCAACTGGAAGAAGTGGAGGTATAAGAACAAAAGAGGAAGACGAGTTTGAGTTGCATATATCTGGATAAACCGAGGAAACAAGCTAGATGTGTGTGGGAAGCTGTTGAATGGAAAGGTAAGAGAGCGAAAGGGATTGTGAAAGCTCTAGTAATGTGAGGAGTAGGTGGAATCATGATGGAAAATTAGAATGAAGTGTAACTAAGCTAAACACAGCCTTTTCTTCTGTATTTTCATCTTGTTTTGTTTTGTTATTTCCTTAGTTTCATACTAAAGCAAAGAATTACATTTAGGGACTGGCTGAAGGGTGTATTCTATAACCTTCAGGAGGCTACTCAGCATATTAAAGGACCACTATAGTGCCAGGAAAACAAACTTGTTTTCATGGCACTACAGTGCCGTGAGGGTGACCCCACTCTCATGGCCCCCCTTCCGCCGGGCTGAAGGGGGATAAAGGGGCTAAACACTTACTATTCTCCAGCACCGGCCTCCCTCGGACTGGGGACTCTCCTCCTCCTGCCGACATCATTGACTGAATGCGCATGCGCGGCAAGAGCCGCACGCGCATTCAGTCAGTCCATAGGAAAGCATTCTCAATGCTTTCCTATGGACGCTGGTGTCTTCTCACTGTGATATTCACAGAGAGAAGCGCGGTAGCGCCTCTAGCGGCTGTCAATGAGACAGCCACTAGAGGCTGGATTAACCCATATGTAAACATAGCAGTTTCTCTGAAACTGCTATGTTTACAGCAGGCAGGGTTAAACCTAGATGGACCTGGCACCCAGACCACTTCATTGAGCTGAAGTGGTCTGGGTGCCTATAGTGGTCCTTTAAGGCAGAGTTTTAACTTTAATCATACAAGGGATTTCCATCCATTAAGAACATGAAACATTTTCCTTCAAACATGAAGATTGTACTTCTAATTCTTTCACATCTCTGGTCAAAATCATATGGAAGTGGCTAAGGCTGAAATTAAGTAGATATCATGGTTTACAACAGATCATGGTAAAATTTTTCTTTTTTTTCATATTTGTTACACTCCGTTAATGTCAAAATGTAAGTAGTGGCTGTTATTTGGTTTGTCCGCTAAATACAACGTTTTAGATACTAGACTTGCGCAGGGCAGAAGAATTTGGATTGTCCAGTTTGTATTGGCTGATTCATGTTTCGTCCATGTGGCGTTTGTTTCTGAAAAAAAACAATAATTTAGTGAAGAAAACTTTAGTCAGTTGCACTATAATATTTTACAGATGATTAAAAAAAATACCTTTTCAATGACATTTTTCCCCTTTTGGATGTTTTTAACACTCCTCTTATTATTTGTATTGCTCAAAAAAAATTATATTTAGACAAAAAATATTGGAACAAAAATGTGCCTATAAGTGAATTGGAAAATATCTTCTTAATATATTATTGTGCATATATTTTGCAGTATGCTGATAGGCACATTTTCACCCCATTTGCTTCACAGTTCAAGTAAGAAGACGTAACCAATAGAGGGAAAAAGAGATGCAGTACACAAAATTATGCATATTTTTATATTATAGATATTATAAATGGGTGCACAAATCTCACTTTACATCTTTTCTTTTCTAATATCTCTTTTCTAAGTGCTCCACAGCAATAATATTCACACTAATATGTCTTTAATCTACAAGAAATGTGTTTAGAAATTAGTCTGTATAAATAAGATACATGGGTCTTTTTACAAATTACATTTTAGTTGCATAAATTGTTATTAATAAGTTACTGTAGCGGTACTTACCCTCTCCAGGGTCCGGGCAAGGTCCTCTCTCCCGTGAGACGCGGCCACGTGACTCGCCTGGCTCTGGGAGGGCGCTGAGCGTCTCGGGCGCGCTTTTTTAAAGGGACAGTAGGAGCCGAAATGTAATACGGTCTCCCATTGGCTCATGTCATACCACATTCCCCATACACTCACGTTTTGGGGGCGTGGATATGACAGGGGCCAATTAAATTAAACTCTATGGTATTTATACTCACCTTTCCCTTAGCTCCCTGCCCTATCGTGGTTTCTGCCTCAGTTCCCTTTAGTGCTTGTTTCGTCCAGTAGTGTTTTTTTCGTGCTTGACCTTGGCTTTGTACCTGACTCAGTTTTTCCTCTTTATCCCTGCTTTGTCTTGTTTGCCGTCTTCCTGACTCCAGTGTACCAGTCCTCGGCTAGTTCTTGTTTTCGCTGTCTCTCTGTTCCCTTGACCTCGGCTCGTTCCTGACTCTGTCATTTCTCTGTACTACGTTGAGTCCGGCCATTCTAAGGCCCGGTAAGACGTATCTTTTTTATCTTGTCTCTCGTTGGACTAAATCTTGCGTGTTGGGGTACACTACCGTGACATTACGATAGGGCCTTGGACCCCGCAGGTTTAGGACAGCAGATGGCTACTCATGAGGCTAGATTTGTAGAGCAGGATCACCGTATGGATCAGATGGCTCAGGCCATCCAGACACTTTTATCCAGAATGGCTCTGGTACCTGTACCAGCTCCTCCTGCACCCCCTGTATCAGACACATCTACTATGCCTAATGCTTTTGCACATCTAACCCCTCCACCTAGGTATGGAGGGGATGCTAAGACATGCAGGGGATTCCTTAATCAAGTGGAATTCCACTTTGAAATGTATCCACGTTCATTTCCCACTGATAGGTCTAAGGTGGGTTTCCTTA